TTATTGCCACGTTACTGCGGCCCGCGGGTACCCACGACTGAACAGAACATTGAACTAATATGCACTTTGTACAACGTACTTTGTGAGGCACCGCGAACAGTCTGTAGCACAGTGCGGGGCGTGTTGCAGTAGGCAGTAGGCACAGATAACTTTTAATCCACTTCAAAAAGGAGGAGGTACTAAATTCGACTGTATTTTTTTATTTTATTTTATGTGAGTTACCTCATAACTTTTTTTCTAGGTGAACCGATTTTAATGATTGTTTTATTATTTGAAAGCTGATGCTTCTTATATGGTCCCATTTGGTGGTGGTATTCTTTTTCTTCATATATTTTTAGTGAGTATCTGAATTTGGGATTTTTCAAACATTTAAAAATTTAAAAATGTAAAAAGTCGTAGCACCTTTTTAATTTGTATTTTATCGTAAAATATAAAAAATATCTTTCATATTTTATTCATTTTATTTATATATTTTTAATGAGTCAAAAGTATCTGAATTTGTGATTTTATCATATATTTAAACATTCATTACTCCGAAAATATTTGTTCTATCGTAAAAAGTCACAGGTTTTTTATTCGTATTTCATCTAAGAATATTAAAAAAAAAACTTGTGTACGAACGTAGTTATACTTCTTTAGCGTAACGAAACAAAAATAACCAAAAATAACTACCTTAAATATAGTTACGATGTAGTAAAACTTGAGAGACAGTTACCCTAGTGGGTAACCTAAGTTGTCGCTTTGAGGCGTCAGTATGCGCGCGCATCGGAACAACTTCATGGTGTAGTTTTTAGGTGTCGGTGTGCACGCACATCGTATAAATTCACTCTCATAATATTCCCCAAACGCCCCAAAACAAATATACTAACTTCAAAAATATCTTTTAAATTTTATTATTTTTCTTTATGTATTTTTTTTATGTTAAAAGTACAGAATTTAGGAATTTTAAAACCTTTAAAAATTAATGATTTCGAAAATATTAAATTTATCGGAAAAAGTCATAGAAGCTTTTTTATTCGTGTTTCATCAAAAAATATAAAAAAAATTGTCCCTTTAAACATAACCATCCTTTGCATTTGAAAAATAAATCGGCTTGAACAATATTATGGCACCGAGTTACGAGTACCCCATGTCAAAATAGATTTATATCATCAGTGGGACAATTTGAACATAATCGCATAAAAAATTCAGATGGAATAGTTTTCGGTACTCATGCGGCGATTTCTCCTGGACTATATCTGAGTATACAGTCCTATGGACACCACTTCTTAATTATATCTTACCTCTTCCACTGAAGTCACGAACGTCACCATCATTAGACACACCCACCTCGTTATCCGAATCTAGCGTGGTGTGCTGGTTTGTAAGCCTGAAGGCGCAAGGCCCATACCCACCACAGTTTTGTTGGTCCTTTGGAGCCGGATCAAGCAAGCAAGGAAGAACAGCAAGAAGCATGAACACTGACTTGTACTGGAACTACATTAAGCTGGAAGGTGAACCTTTCAACCCGATCTGTATCACTACGAATTAAACTATTTGAAAGCAGAGATTAATGGGGATGGAGTGCCTGAGCATCTGTGACCGGACGAGATCGGGTGCTTGAGCAAGGTGCCATTTGCGACCGGACGAGTGCAACGTGGCAACGTCATCATCAGCTTACCAAATAACGACATCTAGCGGTGCCAAAGTCGGTTTTTGGTATAACGCCTTTAAGGGCGATGCGAACAATTGGGCGAGTTTGCCACTGACTCTTCGGGGAAAGTGAAAAGCTCGGCTGTGTTGTTGCATCGAGCGTGTAGCAGGGCCTGTTAGTAGACACTTCATGGGGCACGGGCGTTCCTCCCGTACCCCGAGCCACCTGAGAAGCGTACGTCAACTCGCAGGTAGTCCCTTCCTTACCAATCATGCGTTGTCCATCCTTGAGCGGTTCACCTTGGTAGGCCGCTTCCAGGATTATTAGGGTCTGATAGAGAGTCGTAGGGACCAACAGAGACAGTAGGGCTACTGTCCCTACTGTACCTCCCGGACACCGAGAGTCACCGCTCCTTCCTTGGAATAATGAAGAAGGCACAGGACCAGAGCAAGAGGGTCCGAGGGAAGCAGAACGCGAGCCGGCATTTCACGAAAAGCAAAGGAAACAGAGTCATTGGAAGTGACGACGCTAACAACGTCGAGTAGTGCGACTACTGGAACGTCCACGTATACGTGAGACTCGGGAACGTTTATGGCTGTAACGTGCATTAGGACAGAAGCCAGTGGTACGCGGACCAGTGGCATACATACATTCAAGAATCGAAGCGATTACCGAGAATCCGACGAAATGGCATCTTCGAGAACAATGGTCGGGCGGGAAAAATAAAATAGATCTCGAAGTAGCAGCCGGTCATCGTCAACGAAACTAACGCGTGCATTAAATTCGAAATGAGGATATCCACAGTAGAACTAGAGTAACCGACATAGCCGAACGAATTAGTAAGCTGAAGAGGCAATGGACCTTCGCTATAGCTCGAAGAACCGACAACCGATGAGAAAGAAAAGTTCTCGAGTTGCACACCTCTTACCGGCAGGCGAAGATGGAGTGATGACCTGCTAAGACATGCAGGAAGTCAATGGCTGCAGGTAGCTTGGGACCGTGCTTTGTGGCATTCCTTAGGGAGACCTATGTTCAGCAGTGGACTTGTGAAGGGCTATAATGATGATGATGATGATTAAATTTGAACGTTAAGAACTTGAAAGAACAGACACAGTCGCCATGTTAGCTAAGTCACAGAGCGCGCCTCAATCGGGAAGAGATGTGGAGCGGAACCCTCAAGTGGAACCCTTCATATGTACTTTCATTCTCCATACAATCCATACTATACGAAATCTCTACACCTCCATGAGCACAATATGATTAAACAGGAGTACAAAGTTTTTCGTTCACACAGGGTTATTTTGCAATAGCCGGCCAAATTTGCAGAGAAGGTTCAAAATAAGTAATATAGGTAAATGGTGAAAAAATTAATTTAAAAAATCTCAAACACTGTCCTTTTTATCTTTTAAATTCAAAACGCGTCGCAATGCATTATTTTAACTGATTTTACTACGCACACACACAAAGAGTCGATCGGTAGGCAAAAACATTATTGCCCATAAATCGTATTCAATTTGGGATAATTTCAAATAAAACTAGAAGCCTTATTTACTCGTATTTTCAAAAACTACAATAACGGTATATCATTATTTATATATTTGAATTTGAGCTTATTTTGCTACTCTTTGAAAATTGACCCTGTATAGATTGATTGTTACACTGGTTTGAAAGACGCGGTGATGCAGTGGTAAGATGAAGTAGATGTAGTACCTATTAGGTACAAATTAAAAAGATATATTTTTAAGTACCCAAATAAAAATAATTTTAAAGGATTTTGATAATTTGCACCACGCCAATTATTACAATGTTAGTATTGCCAGTGTGAATAAAACACAAGAAAAGTGTAACTTCTTTTATTGATTTTTTCTACAAATACAATCAGTTTGTATAGTTAAAAAAATTCAATATTTAAGCTATCTATAAATGCAAATAAAGTAAGGAGCAAATATATTATAAGGTTCCCACTGTTTCATCCATTCCTGAGTTTATAGTCACTATGCTTGAAGAGTGGAAGAACAAACTACAATGTGTCATCGTAACGCTGATCAGATTGATGACTAGAAGACTACAAGAATGCTGATGCATCAGGGCACTGTAGTACCAGTTATTAAGAATAATTTTCTATTGTTTTTCTGGACTGTTTTAACCTTACTAATTTTTTTTTCAAATTAAGTTCTTTTATTTTTATTTAGTAATTTACTCTTAAGTTTTACACTTTTAAATAACGAGGTTATAATGGGAAAAAAATTGGACTATTGACATACTCAGCCAGTCAACCGATAGCTTGATTTTATATGATAACTTGGATAATTTCAATAATTTTTTGTGATTTGTTTATACAATTGAACACCCGGTTTTGTATACGATAAGAAAATAGGATTAAAAACACAGTAAAAACACAATCCAATAAAATCATAATCAACCTCGCAAACTGTAAAAATTTCGAACTATATCGCTTAACAGTTTTATGAGCTAGTTTTGTTAAATGTCTTGTTTTGTATGTAAAACGATTAAGGCCTCTCCTCTTTAATTATTTCTTTAGACATTAATCTGAATTTCACATTTAAAGTAAATCACTAGTCGTCAAATTAGCGATCTGATTAAACTATCGGGTTTCTTCATATTTATGAAAAATAGATACATAGATAAGTAAAAACGTCGACAATACAAAAGCTACTAACATAAATGTCTTATAGATTATTAAAAATGTTTATAAAAATTATAATCATTTTAATTTGTAAAAATCCTTTGTGTTGCCATATAACTATTATTAAAAATTTTTCTTATACTAAACATCACATACTCGTAAATAATATAATAACATTAAGATCCGATTTCGACAAAGAATAATTCGATACAAGCTTAATTAATAATGTCAAAATAACAAACACTGTAAATACTATACATGTTTTATCTCACGAAGGCGGGCGAGCCTTACTTGTAACTGTGGTGTATAGACAGATACGCGTGCTTGTGTGCGTAATTGGTGGTAGCGTTAGCAAAGTCATTAGTATTTGAACAGAATATTAAATGTTGTAACTAGTAACGAGGCATTATATCTTAGTTGTTAAAATCAATAAAGGGTTGTACCGAACCTGCCTCATTTCTCACATTTATGTTTTTGGTGGTTTCTCCGAAACGGCTCTGTTTCCTTATAAGAGGGGCGTTGCCGGAGACACATACCCAAGGTTGCACATATATATGGGGTAGTCGGCTGACCGACTACTACTACTACTACTGTTGCACAATGACTAGTCCTATATTAGGAACTATAGTTTTTTGTATTTAGATAATGTGATATGATAGAGTAATTTTATTATCGTCTTGTCTGTTTTGTTGAAATCAGGCCTCACTGTGACAACCACTTCTATTTGTTCTTTTTGTCCTTCTTCGTTTTGCTATCCTTCGCCAGTTTCTTTATAATTGCACTAATGATTTTCTTTAATATTACGTAGAAAATGAACAAGACAGCTAGAACAGCAACTACTTGGTCTAACATCCACAGTTCATACCATTTGTAAAGAATAGCCTTGGAACGCAGATGGTAAGCTCCTGGAAGAAAAAATTGTAACTTATTATAATCTGATACACAATCTACCTTATCTATTATAACCTTAAGTTGAGTGAAGGTGCTTTAAAAGAATCCATCACTCTATTTGCTTAGAGCTTGATGGTGATGATGAACTTAGAATTGCAATCACTTCAGAAGTTGTAGCAAAAGGTTATACCAAAACAAAGTTATATATTTTGTCATTAATTCATTAGAGCTTGTCAGAAGCCTCTTACTAAACATAGGCCTCTCCCGGGGATATATCCCACATTTACCATAATTACCACGCTTGGCAGGTGGGTTGGCGTCATCAGTTTTTTTTATTATTTTTTTCCTTTTTTTTAAAACGTTACCTCTACACTAGGATTTTCTCATGTATCGTAGAGGCAGTTTACACACATAAATTGCACATGGACAAACATCCAGTCCCGGAACAATTATGTGTAGGCCATACAAATACTTGTTCTGTGCGGGATTCGAACCCGCGGCCCCAAGCAGTTGAACTCATTGCTAAGCCACTGCGCCACGGAGCAGTCAAAGGCATTAAGGTAGATGCTGCTGTATTTCCATTTACTTCGCCTCTTGCGATACCAATGGCATGATATGGAGTAGTGGATTATCTTGCGCCGTCACTAAACAGCGGCATTACACGGCCAAATTGTTACAACTGTAAGTGCTTATTTAAGTTTATTCCACTTTTTCCCACCAAATGTCCCACTGGTGGGACAAAGTGGGCTAATTGAAATATGTTTGTCTACTTTTCCCCGCTAATCGTTTCTTGGTGGGGAAAATTACACTGTTAAAATAAACCTCGCCCAATATTTTTTACTACGTGCTCGGCAGTGAAGAACAAAATCTTGAGGAAACTTTCACGTAAATAAAAAATTATAATGTGTGTAAGAAGTGTAAAGTTAGTCAATACGCACTGCAGCAAAGCATCAGATGAGTTCGATGAAGCTGTAATAGGCTAACAGCATTAACATTACAGAAACTAGAACGCATCAGATTTTCCTGGCCCAGAACCTTGTCAGCAATTTCAGCATGGCTTTTACTGTAAGAATTGCTAATGCACGTCAGTGGATATAAATGGTCGTAGAAACCTACGTCAATAAACAACCCACAGTCCCCGGCGGCCCCGCTATTCCTGGCTACGGTGACCATGGTAACGGCGGGGCACCTAAAATGATTCAACCTGGCAATATATAACGTATGCATCCTGAGGACTGACGAGAAGATTTTTGATCTGGAAGAAGAGAGACAAGTTGCGTTGGGATATTATAGGGTTGTCTGAGGTCCGAAGAGAGGGGGAAGACACGGTAATCCTCGAAACCGGCAATTTGTTCTATCACCGGCAGGGTGAACGTCTGTCCCAAGGAGGTGTCGGATTTATCGTCCAAAAGTATCTTGTTAACAACGTTGTAAAGATTGCGAGTGTGTCAACGAGGGTTGCGTACCTTATACTCAGAATTACCAAACAGTATTCGCTGAAGGTAATACAGGCTTACGCACCAACCTCGGTATATCCCGACGAGGAGGTAGAGCAAATGTGTGAGGATATCTCTATAGCCAAGCATTTCTCAAAAACGCACTATACGGTGTTAATGGGAGACTTCAAAGCAAAACCAGGCACAAGAGAGAACGGTGAGCTGAAAAAAGGGAAAATGTAAAATAGAAATTAGGAATAGGGCAACAGAACCCAAAGGCTTAACAGCTAACCGGCTTCATGCAGAAAGAGGGACTTTATGATGAACTCTTGCTTCCAGAAGCAGCCCCAGAGAATGTGGATCTGGTCGAGCCAGTTCGACAAAACATGAGATTGACTTAATTATGACGACCAGACGACAACTATTCAGTGACGTCTCAGTGATCGCCAGGGTGAAAACTGGCAGCGATCACCGGTAAGAGGACTGAGAGTTTCTACGGACAGCTGTACACATCATCGTTGGAGCCGCACGCAAGTGTGTGTAACGATCCAAGAGCAATTCTTATCCGACACTATTCCGATGATATCCCGGACGTCTGTCTGAGCGAGATTAAAATGGCTCTCCAGCACCTTAAAAACGGCAAGTCCCGGGCGAGGAGCTTCTGAAAGCGGATGGAAAACCTTTAATTAAAGTCCTTCAGAAGCTCTTTAATTCCGTCCTCCATGGTGGCACTAATCCGGAGGCGTGGAGCAGAAATGCGTTCTTGTTCTTCAAGAAAGGCGACAACACTCTCGTGAAGAACTACAGTGCGATTTCCCTTTTTAGCTGCATCTATGTGCTGTTTTCGAAAGTAATTACTAATCGTCTCGCACGCAGACTCGACGACTTCCATCCTCCTAAACAAGCCTGTTTCCAAAAAGGCTTTAGCACCATATACTACATATACGGCAAATTCGGCAAATAGCCCAACAGATTAGTAAGCTGAAATGGCAATGGGCCGGCCATATATCTCGAAGAACCGACGACCAATGGGGAAGAAAGATTATCGAGTGGCAGCCTCGTACCAGCAGGCGAAGTGTAGGGCGTCCACCCACTTGATGGAGTGTCGACCTGGTAAGATATGCAGGAAGTCGATGGATGCAGGACCATGCTTTGTGGCGTTCCTTAGGCCTTGTTTCCTTGGCCTATGTTCAGCAGTAGACTTGTGAAGGGCTCTAATGATGATGATGAAGATAATACACACAAAAAATAACATACACACGAATTGAGATCCTCCTACTTTTTTGAAGAAGGCTGAAAAGTCTCACCTTTACTCTCGATGGCCAGCTCAACGTAATGCGAGATGAGCTTACTCTCCTTCACCGGTCGGCTGTTGAACACCTTCGATAATGACTTGACCTTCTTGTAATATCTACAAAAGAAATATGATTACTTATATAAACAAACAAGACGATGTATGCAGTTGGCTCAGGACTTTGTGGGTTTATTGGGGAGGGTTTTTAAGCAGTGGACTTGTTAGAGAGAATGTAATCATTATGATAGATTCTGGTCAGTCATCACATGACGGCGTAAGAGAATCCATCATCCCATTATATTCCATAAGTGTTGTAACAAACGATTATTAGAAAAAAACAGAGTCCGACAAACGACTATGGGTCGGCTCGACCGGAGAAGGACCACACTCTCACAGAATACCAGCGTAAAATAGCAGCATAATGCTTCTGTGTTTCGTATGGTGGGTATAGAGAACCGGAGACTCTTTTTACTGGATACAAGGTATTCCAACTTGTTCCCATTGGGTGACAACGCATCTACATTTAGGTTGTAAGCGAAGTTAAATGTAGATGTCTATGGGTCACAGCAATCACTTACCATCAGGTGGACTGTGTGCTCGTTTGTCACTTTTATTCTATTAAAAAAAAAACCTCCCAAGCGTGACGATTAAAACAACTCATCCCAGCAACGTGAGAGGACCATGTCCAGCAGTGGACTTTAAATGAGCCTAAAAAGAAATAAACATTCTATAACATATGTGATGATTCCTGACTTGTGTCCTTTTTTCCTGTCCTGTTCTAGACGTCGTAAGCGCGACTGCTAATTATGAGGTTCGCGGTCGGGCAAAAATTGGGTATTGGGTTTCTGTGTAAAGTAGCTTTTCAAACCAGCCCGGAATCAGGGTGTTAGCGATGTTTCACTCACGCGCCATGATTTCTCTTCGGTAGTATCGAACTTTGTGCAAAACACTCGTGTGTGCTCCTCCTGCGCAGATGGAGCCATGACGAAAATTCGGTCAACTACTACCACAGTACAACTCCACTACTGAACTAGCTGAACTTTCCCCCATAGATTTTTCCCCAAAGTACGATCCTAAAACACCTGCATCCATCGATTAACGGCGCGTTTCATCAAGTCGTTACCCCATCTAGTGAGAGGGCCGCCCCCATACTTCACCTACAGAAGTTACATTGAAATAAAAATAAATATTAAAGTTATATATTATGTATCTTTAGTTTGACTTTTTTGCACGTCCTAGACACTTGGAATTAGCGCACAATGTGAAGCGAAATTTCACTTTTACATTTCTAAGATGACAAATTAATCATCTATAATAATTTTAAATTATAAAAAAATCTATAACACACTTATCAGAATAATTTATATTTACTTGTCGTTAGAAATCATTTCGTTGAGAGCTATCTTGAGTTCAGGAGCCATGTCGGACGACAGCTTAATCTTGAGTGCGTAACCGGCCTGCACGCATCGTTCTGCATTGCTGGCATGGTCGCCGAAGACCGGGATCGTTATTATTGGAACCCCGTAGCGCAGTGTCTCTAGCGTACTGAGCAGACCGCCGTGGGATATGAATATCTTCACGTTTGGATGCGCTGATGGACATTATAAATATAATATATGACGTAAGTATTAGATATTGTACTAGGAAATGTAGTCAATTATCATAAATTTCACAAATAGAAGCAAAATAAATTTGCAAAGTTAAAAAACAACAAAGTAGTTAAAGAAGCATTGCTAATTAAACGTAGTAACGTTGAAATTAGTTCAGACTACTTGCAATCAATCACCAAACACTTACCCAAAATGCTGGCTTGTGGCATCCACGACCTGATGTGCACATTCTTAGGCAGTCCGTCTAATTTTTCTTCAAATTTCCACAGCACGGTATATGGAAGCTCTCCAAGAACCTTAAGCAAATCATGCTTGGTCTTCTCGGGAAGAGCAGCGGATTCGTGTATGGATCCCAAGCTGAAATAGACGGCGCCTCGTGGCGAAGAATCTAGAATTTCTTGAAGATCCTGACGACGTTTATAAATAGCTTACGAACAACTTTTCGTACGTACGTGGTAGGGACACGCTGCAGCTTTATGGTTTTTAACTATTATGGTTATAGCAAGAATTAGTCGGATCAACTGGGTAAGAAACAAGCTTTCACAGAATACCAGAGTGAAACTACTGCTTAATGCTGCTGTGTTTCATAAGGTAAGTGTAGAGAACCGAAGATCCTTTTTACTGGAAACGAGGCGTTTCATCCTAGTCCACAGGGGTGACAAATCATCTACATTTTGATCGTGCTACAACCATAATATAGCTGCAACGTGGCTCTACCGCGATGGTGAAGGATGCTCCACAATCACACAAGTTAGATAAAACATTCAAATGCTAAATACAGGCCTCCCCCAAAGATACCCCATGTGGCAAATGAATACATACTAATTACGAGTATATTCTCATTGCCGTGAAGTAGATTTTGGAATACGCCAGATACAACTAATGGTGTCCGATTCAGTATAATTAATTCGTTACCGGAGTAATATATCCAGACCGGCGTCCGGGAACGGTGTCAAAGTTGCCAAACGTCTGGTACCTAACGCCTGTCATGAATAAAGAATACTCACCCAGGTGTGTATTCCTTGCTTCCTATAACGGGAGAGTATAAAATCCATATATAACAGTGGACTTTGACGGGCCGATTATAATGATGATGATGATTCTCCTTTCACCTAACTATTCTATTGCCATTGCATATGGCAGTGTGTTGCCCGTGTTCAGAAAATAAATTCGTGACGTATCGGCAGTTTGAATATATACACGAACCATTTCGAGCCCCCTTTAACTTCAAATATTTAATTTTGCGACCCTGACAAAGACTCTAATACAATACTTAGCATCCCAAATATCATGAATAAACCTATTAAAGCGCTTGAGTTCTAAAAAGAGTGATGGGATTTATTTATCCTAAACTTACTTTAGGCAGCGGTGGAGTCACCTCGTCGATGTGATACCCAGCAATCTCGATCACGTTGGGCGGGAGGCTTATAGCAGGTGTGAACGAAGGGTGCGAGTTCACAAACAAAATGGAAATATTGTGCATTGCCTCGGAGAACGGAGGCAGCGACACTCCTCTAGCGGCTGCGAGAGGTGCGAAACGCTGCTCGTAAATGGAAATAGTTCTTGCTGTATCTCTCCTGAAATAGCAATGAAACAAAATAAAAAATTTGTTGTTTTTGGGGTTCCGTAGTTACACAACAAGGAACCTTTATAGTTTCGCCATATCCGTCCGTCCGTCCGTCCGTCAGTCCGTCCGTCCTAGGTTTTGCTCAAAGACCCTAGGTGCTACAAATCTGTAATTTAGCATAGTTAAAGATATTAATCACGCCTAAAAAACTGTGAAATAAAATCTTAAAAAACATTTTTATTTTTATTTTTTGTTATTGTAAACTGTTAAAAATGAACATTTTATATACTTATATGAAGAAAACGACTTAATTGCATTACAACTATAACTTTATTTTTTCATTTGCGGGATAGGCAGGGAGGATTTTTCTTATTTAGTTACTACTTTTCCTCATGTTTTAGTTGGTAGTTATTGTAGGCCTCATTCAAAGTATTCATACAATCATATAGCCTCACACAGTTTCATTCGTCGTACTCTTGGTTTACGCGGGCGACTTCAGGATAATTTAAGGCAGTGGTGGTTTAAGTGAAGGTTCGTTACGGTCATATTTTATGTATATCTTAGGGTAGCACTGAGAATATATAGATTGGAATATATAGATAGATCGTTAACTATGATCATGATTGTACCTTGGCATGTGAATGATATGAAAATGGTAAATTGTATTATTTTCAAAATCGAAAAGATTTTTTAATCTTTTCTGAATACCACTCCCTATAAGTCTGATTTGAAAATAAGTCCTTCAGTTACGATCTTCCTATTTGAGTCCATTTTTAGTCGTTACAGCGGTCAAACCGCGAACTTGCTTATTATGCTCATTATCAAGAAAGCACACGTATTGTCATCTACGGAACCCTACCTATACATTGTGCGTGGCCCGACACACACTTGGCCAGTGTATTTTTTGATAAAAGTGACCTAATAGACTTGACGGCAACTATTAAATTTTTAATACTCGGCTCGGTAGGACGAGTGTTTTTGTGTTTTAGTTGTTTTTGTGGGAGGCTAAGCTACTGAAGAAAAAAAAGAAAATACTTACCAGATATAGTACATCATATTTACGAAGCTGTAGGTGTTGAATAGGCGATCCTTAAAGCTCATGGGCACAGGGAATTCGTTCGTCAAAAATGGCACGACCGGTAGGGAGCGGACCGTGTCCACGAGGTACTCCATGTAATGACGATGCATCACTGCGCCGCTCAGCATGATCCAGGGTACTTGTTGGACCGCAGCGTACCTAAAAGTTTTGTCATTAATCAATTTGACATGATATAGGACTCCAAAGGAGGTTATGGACCAAATAGACCCCCCGCGTTACTCACTTCACATACCCTGGAATTTTTTTCTTTCTCAAACATACAGGCTTCCTCACCATGTCTTCATTCACCGCCAAGCATAGATACCACACGAATATGATGCCTACAAAGCATTTTCCCCGAGTGAGATTGGATCACACACACACACACACAATATTCCGTTTAATTTTACAGGCGAATCTTAACTAATTAATGTTGCTATACTAGTCATCCGATAACGAACCCGCAATATTTTCTGACAATAAACTAAACGTTTGGTGTTTTTTTATTTGATTCCTTATGCGTCACTAGAATAATGTCCTCTTGACCGAATTTCGGTCACCGCGGCCAGTGTTAACGGACACTAGCCTTCTGCGCATGACAGGATTATTGTGCACGAGTGTTTGCGCAAGCATAAGTGCACTCACTATTACCTCACTCGCATAATACGATGGTACGGCAATCCGACACGACCAAAGAGAGATGGGCGCAGGACTTCTACGTGCTTTCCGAGGCACGGGGGTAAAACACTGCCAACTTAACTCTTTTAACACGATCCTACACCATTCATACAGTGACGAACTGACACAAATTAATATTTGTTCGATTTATTTACAGCCATCGATCACTTATAAGAAACGAGATACACAATCCCATGCAAAAGTTCTCTAAAAACTATCGCAAATTGTTTTGACGTAATTCTAGTTGAAATAAATATTATACATTAATGTAAACTCAACTTTAAATGCATTGTCTAAAGTTGTATTCACAAAGCTACGTGCAAATTAAAAGCACACCCAAATGTTCGAGTGGGCGCTCATTCGGTAAGGACATTTTTTGTCACTGATTGTGTATCTAGTTTTTTATTAGTGATCGATAATTACAGCCTATTAAAGTATACTATTGAATATAAGATCCCCAATGCAATGCCTCATAAGAGGAATGCTGTCCTCGTTATTTATTTATTTATTTACACTTTATTGTAGGTACACCTTAATAAAAGGATTTCAAAGGGCAAACTTAATGCCTTTTGGCATTCTCTCTCAGTCAATCTGGGACGTCTGAAAGATAATGTGATAGGTGCCAAATATAAAATGAACATATCTATACAAATAAATAAAATTGAAGTGTCTGTTTGTAATGTCAAAATTACAGCTTTTTACTAAATGCATATGAAAGTATATACGGTACTAATAACAAAAATACAATTTTTAAAGTTTTTGTCTGTCTGTCTGTCTGTCTGTCCGTCTGTCTGTTTGTTCCGGCTAATCTCCGAAACGGCTGGACCAATTTTGACGGGATTTTCACTGGCAGATAGCTGATGTGACGAGGAGTAACATAGGCTACTTTTAGTTTAGAAAAAGAATTAGGGTTCCGCGCAAAAAAATTAAAACCACAAATAACACGCGGGCGAAGTCGCGGTGTACAGCTAGTTATTTATAAAATAGACATAGACTAATATTATATATATTAACATAAATACAATAAACGTATATTCTTTAAAATTTACTATACACAAGCACATAATATATACATAAATACCATTGAGCTATTATGTACTACGTACTAGAGGCGACACTACATTATGTTACGCTGTTCCATTCAACTGCGGTGATATTGCTGCACTTTACTCAGTCGCTCGCATAGATTACTGTATAATATATAAGTTGACACATTTTGTGTTGATTATATAAAAAAAAAAACTTGATAAAATACGCCATGGCGTGTTTTAGATATTGCACAAATAATTCAGGAAATGTTAGCAAATACCAAGGAATAACTTTTCATCGGTGAGTAAAATACTTAATAAAAAGTATTATAGATTAATAATTAATCAAACAAATTATTCAAAAGACGCCATCTCGGGTCATGAAATATAGATTATGAAATTAATTTGATCAGATGCGACGTTTCTGTAGATACTTAAGTCTGAGAATAATTATGCATAATATAATTTTTTTTTGTAGAAACAAATGGAAGTTTTCATAATTAGGCAAAATTTCTGATATTTAAATTTGCTGATTATTCTTTTGTTTTATTTTTAGGTTTTCACGTCCAAGCCATGAAAACAGGAAAAAATGGACCAAATTCTTCAATTTTTTAACTCTCCCGTGCCCAGCATTTATGAACGACTCTTATTCTAATCTAAATAAATATATTTGTAAATTATATGTTATATCAATAAGTTTTGTTACAAACACATTAAGTATTTTTTTATATTTTACATAGTTACGTTATTTTACAACGTTATATATTATATATAACATGGCTGGGATTTTAGTTTTTTTTCTGATTAGACGACGAACGAATTTTTTGTAATGTTCAGTATATTTACGGGACTTAAGAGAGGTGGAACCCTCGGCGCGCGAGTCACACTAGTATATGGCGGTTTTTTAATACTTACAGAAGTTTTACAGGCTTCCCAAATAATTAGTATCTTTTTTTTTCACCTAAAAAAATGTGGTATCATAACCGTTGTCTGAATCAATAAGTAGTTTAAATTCAATTTTTGATAGTATGAGCAAAATTGTACTTACAAATAAATTACGCAAGTGATGTCTCCTAAGCCTAATCTGAGTGATGTATACGAAGCTTAAGTTTTTCAATATAGTTCTACCTTAGTAACGGAATCAATAATTTTAGGTCATTATAAAAATAATAAAATATGAGCACGTTGTAATATTGTGTTTGTATTTAATAGCAAGGAATCTGCAGCTAGAAAGAAACTTAAAGAGAAATTTAAGAAAATACAAAGCCAAAATATTTATCTAAAGATTAAATGCGCTTCTTACAATTGGACAAAATTTTAAACATAAATTCGGTCACAAACTAAATGCTGAGATTGATTTAATGGCTAAAGCAGAAGTTGTGGAGTTATATGAATCTTTAATGAAAAAGAATAAACAGAGCACGCATTATTTATTAATACACTGCATGCACCTTAACGTAAATTTGCATTGATTTTACACTATTATCCACCAAATACGTTAGAGAATTCTAGAAAAGTAATAATAATGATCTTTGAGAATAAATTCATATTTTTATATTTTACATATTTACTTTTAAAGTATTAAATAAAATATTATTAAAATGTGATTCTGTCATAATATTATGTTATATTATATTAAATTAACACATAAATGCAAAATAAATAACAAAAAAAAATGTATTCGATATAATTTACAATACAATCTAAATAAACAATTACTTATTACATACTGATCATTCTACCTACCAAAGAGAATATAACCACTACGTTGACTACCTATGTATAATCTATGATGACAAAAACCGCGCATGCGCTCTACTATTTACCGCGCGAAGGCACAGAGTAGCGCACATTTTTCGTTTGGAATAGCTTCTCTAGTACGCAGTACATTATAACTCAATGATAAATACATACATGTTTTATTAGTTATGATGCTCCAAAAGCAATTTGGCAATCTCAGTTATTTATAACTTTGAGTTGCTATCAGAAAGACGCTGCTAAACATCTCCTGTTTCAGTTTCCCTCTGACGCCTCTCACGACACCCATGGCGCGATAGGAGTAGTGGATAAGACTGCATTGTGACATTCATCTGATTCAAATTTACTTTGGTGTGTTGTGCGCGCTCCCGCGAATATTTTCGCATGCCAGAAACCGCCTATGTCTAATAAAATGTATTCCTGCAAATATCTTCTGAATCCATATCTTTTTATAGGATATGGGCGACCAGCGAGCACACAGTCCACATGATAGTATATGGTTGCTGTGGCCCATAGACATTTATAACTATCCTCGTTTGCGAATCAAAATTCAAATGCGTTGTCAGCCGTGAGGACTAAGATGGAATGCCTCTTTTCCAGTATAAAGTCTCTCCAGTTCTCTACACTCACCATACGAAACACCTTCAAGGAACATCTTCCTCGGTCGAGCCGACCCATTCGTGCTACAACTATACAATTAATATAGCTGCAGTATGGCTCTACCACGTTTAAGAAAATATTAACAAAAACCTCTCACCCAGCCTCAAGATCCGAGAAGAAAAATTCAGAAACGACAGCATCGTACTTTTCCTTCACGAGGGCCTCTCGTACCAATGGATTGCTCGAAGCAACCAAAGAAATGTTTCTAAAGAAGTCCAGCAAAATCGAATTATCCCATTGAGAGGTTTTCGAGACGTCGATTGCTATAACAAAAATATTAAAGGAATCGAAAACTATAGACGTTTTAAATATAATTACCGGTACATTGATATTCGCAGTAGAACCAAATTGTCCGACATAACCCAATGGATCATTTAGCTGAAGTGGAAATATGCCAGACAATCAGCACGAAAATCCGACAACCATGCCATAGAAAGTTTCACTCTCTGTACCAAATTGTTATTTTACATATTATTATCGTTTTTAAATTGATTGAAATCAGTAGACAATATTTATGACAGCTTTTACAAAAATTTACTTCGCAAATATCCGCGTTATAAAATAAAATGATGTGTCTTACCTAGTATGACGAAGCACCTCCCGCCCTCCCTCAATTGCGTGCATTATCCCCGTCACCACTAATCCCAGCACCGCTACTCCCAACACCACTACACTAGGCAAGACACACCACTGACGATAATACGACACGTGTTTCGCCTCTACACGAGGCATCCTCAGGTGATATAGACTCTACGGTGGCTAACCGCTAAGTGAGCGGCGAGCCAAAACAAGTGCCTTTTATACAAATCGATGATGCAACCGCTCTCTACCTAAGGAGCGAGCGACTGCGTCATGCGATAAAACATGCGACCAATCACCGCTGGACTTACGCAGCCGTTTGTAAATTTAAAAACAAACCGCCGCGCAACGCCCACATTATTAGAGAGCAGGCTTGAAGATATTTAAGAGAGGTGAGTTAGTAACATTTGTTTGTTCATTCAGCA